CTAAAAAGTGGGACTTCATATAAGAGAGAAAGTAATATGTCTGGTACCTTTAAAATCTGATCAAACAAAGTAAAGCACTGAAAAGGCGGTTCTGCATCGACGTTCGATATAAGAATCAACAATATGTTTTTTTTAATGGGTAACTCCTGATTCCTTGCTAATTTAGATTAGCCTGCTTCCCAATCAATTTAGGTGCTTTTATCATATCAATGACCTCCTGTGCTGCCTTAAATTAGCTATTTCGAATGGTAACCAATATAAGCAAAATAATCGAGCCCCACTAAGCTATAAAGGGGTAGTGATGTAGTCTGAAAGGAACTAATAATTCAATCACTGAACAATCGTAGTGACTGGAAACAGTCTACACACACGCTGACCATGTACGCTCCATGGATAACTAACCTTAAAGGCGTCATCCTCTTGCATGGGGTATACAGGCTGGCGATCCGGTATGGCATCAGGCGCGGGTTTCTGATAAGCCGGCTCGGGGTCGAGGAGCTGCGGAACGAACTCCTTCGGAGGCTCTTTTTGTAGTGGTCCTGTCACCCACGTGGCATGGGATGCGGGTGCCATGGCGGTGGCGGAGGGGAAGACCTGTCTCACGGCTGTCGCCGGCTGCGTTACTCCGACTCGGTTGTACTGTTCGCTCGGACGCCTGCCATCTGGAGGAGGAAGCAAAATCACAAGGATTCCCAAGGCGATAAAATGGGGTAGGATACCTAGCATGCATTCATCCGTGATATTTGCGGAGTTAACAAAAATCGTAGGAAACACCTGCGATGAGAATGCCAAGGGAGTTAGGGTTTCCCTACCTTCCTTTTGTTATTTGTACAAGTTTAGGCATCGATATCATTATGAGATGATTGTGTAAAGAAGTCCCTTAAATAAACACGCAAAGTTCGTGAGAATTGTGAGGTGACCTAATTTGGAATATGATTCCAGTTATGCAGGAAACCAATTTAATCATTCAGCAATTTCATACCAGAAAACGGCATGAAACAACAACGAAAATCACGAGATTCATCAATAAGATGGGGAGGGGAAGGAGTGACTGAAAAGTAGTTGGTGCATGAAAAACGGAGGTTGTAGCGCTGACATCGGGGGTTAAACTATGGAATCCCAACGGCACTTAAGAAAAATAAATCTTGTTTACCCTTCAAACCCCGTTAAGCTACAGATAGACGTCCGGAATCCGGGTTTCTTGAAATGTTCAGTAATTAATCCTTTTGGTTTACCCAAACTGGCTGAAGAGCCGACTGCTAGACACAGCTGATGAACGCGCGGATTAAGGCCATGCAATGTCTTTCTCAGTTAAATAGGGTACCAAATTTTCCATCAAGGCATTTCCCGTTTAAAAAACTTACTTCAGTAGGACATTTTTCACAATTATTAGAGAAGGTTATTCGTAAAAATCCACATCAACACCAATAGCGTTCAGGTATGCACAAACGACCTTAGAGGGTGAGAAAACGATAAAGTAGTCTTTTTAGGATCCTGTTGTGTTATTTGCATTCAATCATACTTTAATTTCCACCTTCATCGTAGATAGCAAGTACTTCTGATACCAAAACAGCCCATTAAGGGGCGCATTTGATAAGAAGGATTTGGAACTGTTAATTTCTCTGTAAAAGCTCTCAGAGGTCGATAGTACGGGAATATTGGTGCTGCGAAATAAACAAAACTTTATGATGCGATCAAGCATAAAAATATGCAATTCAGGACTTCGTGAGATTGGAGGTTACCTCCAAGATTTCTTTAAAACAGAAGACCGCCTCACCATTATTTTTGTAAATTCCATACGACATTCTCCACATGCGGGGCACTCTTTTGAGGTGCTTTGGCCCGAGTCGTCTGGAGGCGCCACCCACTTCAAGCTACGTGCAAGCCAACCCATGCATGAACATTCTAGCCAATGAGCAACAGCCCCTCTGCCGCACGCTGATTGGCTGCGGCGAGGAGGCCAATTGCGCCACAGAGAAACACAACACAGACGCCACAGGGGCTCTGGCAATGCAGCCTCTATGTATACGTGTGGATGAATATATATGCATATTCATATTTGCTCGGTCTGGTGTACTATTTG